CCGAGGGCATTACCTCGGACCTTTAGGACCGAGGATTATATTCACTAGAACTTCAGTGTAAGGTTAAAACACAAGTCTAGTTACAGGGGCCACTTATGAAAGTCTACTGAAGATCCACAGAGAGAAAAATTTTCTCTTGGAGATGTATAAATGAGGTAGGTGTTTGAATCAAAGCTTGATGATTCATACTGGTTACAATTTCAAGGAGAGTTTGGAGTACAGTAGACACAATTATGGTGCTTCTCCAGAAAATGTCTTCAAAAATCTCTGATCAGTACTGTTTGACCTGAGAAATTAACTTTTGGATTTCCCAGAAATGATGTAAAAAAAAAAAAAAAAAAAAAAAAAAAAGAACTAGCCATGGAGTCATTTTAGGTTTGTATCCACAAGACCTGTACAACTTCTTTAAACTTTATGAGTCACTATCTTCATCTCTAGATTGAGAAAGTATCTACAACATATTGTTTTATAAAAATTAAATGAGGTACTTCACACAACATGCATGGAATGGAATAAGGTTCACAACAAGGTCTAGTTTTTTGCTTTCTGTATTATATTAGATAGTTTTACATTCATACATATGTCACAATTTCTTTCACAAATGGGGTAAAATCAATTACAGAATAGTTTATAAAATTGATTAGCCTGATTTTACCATGGAAACAATCTCTTTCCTCAGGTTACCTTACAGTACAGATCCATGTACACTTATGTATTTCTGGATCATGATTAATCATGTTACATTATCCTTCCCTCGCATTCTCTTTTCTGTGGATCATCTGTTCTGAAATTTTTCTGAGTAGAGGGCTTTTGTGGGTCATTTAAAATTAGTCCAAGTCTCTTCTGGGAGCAGAACAGCTGGAGAGGATCTCAGCTGTTTCTGTGTATAAATTCCAGAGGTCCAGGGATATCCCTCAGGACTTTATTAGCTCAAAGTCCCTGTCCGTCAAAATGCTATGTCTTCCAGAATCTCAAGATGCCTCATTCATAACCTGTTGATGCATTTGTGTACAATGCCTTCTTGACACACTGTCTATTAGGAACTCACTCTGGATGGTCTTGTGAACTCTTTAATCAGCTAGCTGAAGGGAGATAGAGATGTGCTATGAAGACATTAGGGGAAGATAAAGAAATAGGAATAAAGCTATCAAAAATAAAGACATTGCAAACTGATACCAGATTGGGTAGATAAGGGGAAATACTAATTAGAGTGGAGAAAATTAAAATTTTTCTTGATTTTTTTTGTTTTTATGGGCGTCTGTTGTGAAAATACTTCCTCAAGTACTTAGGTAGTATTTTTGAAAAATAAAAAGACATCATCATGTTTGGTGAAATTTCAGAAAGTGTATTTAACGTGAATCCATTATAAAATAAATGAACAGAGTGTGTATTTGGAAAATAAATAAAGATTTTAAAGTTCTTACCTTTTTTATGTTCGAATTGTTAAGATTCCTCATAATGATACAATAAATTTTGATAAGTTAGTGTTGTATGGGCTCTTAATTTTTGCTCAGTTTTTTTTAGCATTTAAGACAAAGATGATATTCAACAGAGAGTTGTTTTTATAAATTAAATACTAAAATTTCAGTAGAGTAATTTTAACACAAAATTTAACTTCTAATTATATTACAGTTTCAGCTGTGCATAGATAACAATTATAGAGATTTTAATTCCCAAGGTCATTCTCAGTTCAGGACCTCATCAGTAACATCCAGATGACTGTATGTGAGACCCAGGTTCTCTTTCCAGTTAGGTCTTGTTTGCTCATTCTCATCTCTGGTGAGGAATGATGTATATGAAAGCACAGTTTTACAAATAATATTAATCATAAGTTACAGTGAACTATTTTTACATGAAGAAGCAATTAACATTAGCTTGAAAATAAAAGTATTTTATTCTATATGTGCCCTTCTTGGAGAAATATCAACAGGTTTATCTGGGCTTGTCCACAATAAATGATTTAGAATAAATCAGGGAATTTGTGAAGGAGAAAGCAGGGGCAAGACGGCAGGAGGTTAAGTAAGTTATAACAATTAAAAAAAAAAAAAAAGGACTTCCTATTTTCATTTGAGGCTAACTCCACATGCCCTGAAAGGTGATTATAACTGACTGTTGGCAGAACTGAGCTCCTTTTGGTAATGCAAAGAATGTGCATATGGTTACAGCTTTTGTAGGACATGATTGTACGGTTGCATTTCCAAGGTCTCTCTTTCAAATTGTTAAATTTTGAAGGAGTCACTGAATCTCCGGAATCATGTTACAGTTGTTAGAAACTATTAGAATAGTGGTGTATAAGATTAGGTGTATATGCCATCTTCGATGTAATAATCTCTAGCTCATTGGAAAAGAAGAACATAAAGACACATTTCTGAGCACAAAGACAGCTATGTGAGTGGAAGTTTTAAAAAGGGACACTTTTTTTTTAAACAAGAAAGACATGCAAGCCTATGCCTTTTATAAAGCTCTTTACAATGATTCATAGAGAAAGTATTCTGCATGACATCAGAAGTCCACGGTGAGTAATGCTAAGATTCCAGACATTAAAGAGATTTTAATATCACATTTTTAAAGAAAGAAATGTCACTCAGGACATGCTTCAGTTAATGGAAGGATGACAGTCTTCCTAGAATATTATGCTGCTCACTGTGGAACAAGGGTTTATAAATCTTATGAAAGAAATAAGGTAAGCAATTGAGACTGTATGTTACCAGGCTATAAAAGACCATGATTGTTATAGAGTGGTGTCCTAGGTGCTTGTCTTCAGAGACTGAAAGGAAATATTTCAGAAACTTAAAGATAACAACAAAGAAAAAGATTATAGAGACTTTAAAGACTTTGTTTTAGATAGTTGTGGGCAGACTAAACAACATTTCTGACTGCTCTGAAGTAAGTTTTCAATGGAATAAAAATTCCTCTAATTTCAAGGATTTTTTTAAATTTTGTTGTTAGGTGACAGATAATTTTATAAAGAACAATGAGAAGAAAAGGTGTTATAGAAATCCACTGTAAATTCCCAAATTAATAATTTAAAAGGTAAAGACAGATTAAATTCTGTAAAAATGCAGCTTCTGGTCTTATTGATAAAATTTTAAAGCCATCCCTGTTTCAATAGTTTGGGAGTGGTGCCAATGGTGCTGATGAGCAAGTGAGGATAACTGGTAACTGAAGGATAGAAACAAGAAGAAGCCGGTGGGGAAGTGTGACCTGCCAGAGTGATGGGAGTTCTGCTCCATACATGAAAGAGATCCCCATAATTAATTTACTCATTTTTTCAATTTTCAAAACCATGAATGTGTTGATGTTTTATCCTCCTTCCAGTGCACATGTTACCATGCTACAATTTCATGGATACTGGTAGACTCGATCACTCCTGATGGTAGCAGTAGCCAGTCAATAAGCATAGTTTTATGTCAGTTCATAAAGCACAATTCTCAAATGGCCATGTGAAGACAGATGGCCACAACCCATGTGTTTTGTAGGTTACATTAAAGAAACAGAATATGAGAATAATGGGAGTAGAGATCTTTTGTAAAGCAGAGAAGACTAAAAACACTTGATATTTGCTGTGTAGTTTCCAAGGCTTTTCACTATATAAACAGCCTAGAAAGATAATGGGAAAACTGACTGTTAGAGCCACTGTCTGCAAACAAGGCAGAAGCACAAAAATTCTATGGAGAACTGCTGTCAATATCCACCTCTTATTTGCACATCATCTTGACTTATAGCAAATTTTGAATGAATTTTGTTGAGCGTCTGCTTATTTGTTTATATTCATTGTTGCTATGGTTACCACCAAAGTCTCCAAGCAAAGGAACAAGGCAAGTCTATAGTACTGATCACAGTCATGCTCCCTGGGATTCTACAACCAACCAGATGAAGAATTCCCATAGACCAGAGATGGCGAACCTTTCAGAGCTTTCAATGATACAAACAGCTCCCTGTGAAACACATGCTATAGGTTTGCCCCACTGCTTCAGACTGTCAGGGACCACCAGGGATGGAGAAAATCTTTCTTCTTCTTTTTTTTTTACACTGATCTTTCCAAGTGGCCTGAGGCCCTAATACAAGGACAGGAGAATATATCTGTCATTGCATAGGACTTGCTCTGGTTTGCACGGATAAAATCAAGGATAAAGTATGAATGGTTTCTTGGGCTGAAATATTGTTGGTTTTGTGTTTTTGGGTTGTTTTTTTTTTTGTACTGAGAATTGAACTCAGGAGCATATGCTTGCTAGACCGGCTCTTTTGCTGCTAAGCTATATGCCTGGTCCAAAATATTTTTCTTGATTATATCAGGGAAGTTAGGATCAAGTTGTGTTATTACTGTTTATAATTGAATGTCTTCCATGACAGACAGACTGCACCTAAATTACAAATTAATTAGTTTTCTAGGAAGATCATCAAAGGGTTGCCTCCTTTTAGAGAACTCTCTGTAGTCATTTGAGAGATACATCATAATTTAGTGTATTTTCTTAAAAATTTGAAATCTCTTATCACCATTTCCAAAGTGCAAGTTACTGTGGTTATAGGATGGAGACAAGTTAATGCTTGGCTGCTAAGCAAAATACGATTCCATAGATCTGCTTTTTATCCTTGAATACAGTTAGAACTTGTGTCCTTAGAATTTTTGTGGCTCATAGAGACCTAGAACCTTAGAGTCACAGCTCATAGCTTCTGTGATCTGTCCTCGTAACTAACTGGTACATCTTAGCATTTCCAGGGCAGCTCAAACAGAATGGGATTTGAGGGATTGTCTGACCCTAGTCAGGCCAAGGCATGCGCACTTGTCTGTGGTAAAAGCTGGGCCAAAGTCATTGACTAAATAATAACTACAGAATGGGGATGTGTGGAAAACATCTGAGGTTTGGACAGTTGTTTTACGTGGGGAATGCAGGAGCTGAGGCTATCCCTGCTATTTTAAATAGACTCACAGTTAGTTTTAGGATAATGACATTTACATCATAGTCCAACATCCATGTAGTAAAGGAAGGAAGACTTACCAGACAGGTATTTTGTAGTATTTTCCACATTTAGGAGAGGAATAAATTGTGTTTTTTCTTCACGAGCAACTCTCTGAGGTGATTCTGAGGGTCAAAGACCACTAGCCGTCTTGTCTTCATAGTGTGTCTTGAAATCTAAGCGATCCCTGAGATAATTTGCAGAACATTCTCTTATTTGCCACAATATAGTGTCTGTTTCAGGAGCTATAAGTTCACGTTTCTCCCAATCACCCCATACTTGTACCTGCACTCTTATTCATAAGGGGCAGATACAGGAGACAAGGACACTTTCTGAAACTCACCGCGTCCTAATGTTGCGTATTTTAAACAGCATGAATCACAGTCAAGTGGTTTGGTGACTAGCACACTGAACAAAAAATGGTCATTATGATGTAGGGAGATGTCAATCCAGGAAGAACATCATTTGCCCAAATTAGGATAGAGAGTGAACCCACTGGTCCCTAGTTAGCTAGATTACTCATTGTAGAGCATGCTGGTCAGTCCTGCAGGGTGGTGACACTAGAGAAAAGAAAAGGTGTTAGCCTCAGAAATGAACAGCAGAGAATGCCAGACATTACAGTGGGTCTACATAAACTACCCTTTTGGTTCAGAATATTACCCAGCAGAAAAATGAATAAGATAGTTACTTGCTGAGGAAAGCCACATTCAGTAACTAATATCTTTTACTAAAACTTTGGAGAATCAGGAGTTTAGGAAGATGGAGTCAGAATACCTTTGAGTTGGTTTTTAAAAAGGACTTTCCATTTCTCAATAATAGAAGTCTGTAGGCAGTGTGGAATATAGAAAGTCTATGGAATATCTTGGTCATTGGGCCATTGCTGAATAGGTTTTCTGATAAAAGGTATTCTATCATCAGATTGCAAATATCCCCAGTTCCAAAAGCTGAAAATGTAACAATTTGACTCCAAAGAATACAGCCCCAGTGAACTGGCTGAACTTCAGCAACCACACTGGAACCTAAAATGGGTCAATGACAATGAAATCCTAGTGATAGCTCCAAGAGGAGACACCCAATAGAGGTTGCAAAGTGTGGGCAGAAATCAATGCAAGGTGACTTTCTTTGTCTCAAAAATAGAGTCATGCGTACCGAGAGCATTTATGGCAATGTGAGTGGTGAGATTTCAATCCGTTTGATACTGGCCAACTCATGAGTGAAAGATCCTTCACATGGGGTTCTGTAAGAGGTAAGTAAATGTTTCTGCAAGGAGCAGAGTTTATTATCACAGCTCAGTGTACCCAGGAAGGTTGCCCATTTGTTGGTCTGCTAATCTACGGGACTGGACCTTTGGCTCACAAATAAATTCCTAACACAAATTTAGCTGTGAAATCCATTGTCACTCAATTCAGTTGTAAAATTTACAAAAGCAGTTTACTATGTTGACCTAAATTACTCACCTGTAAAATTGAATTTTATTTCTCAAAATAAGCTGAGAACTGTGTTTTGTGCCCAAAGCAGATCAGTTGGCCCTAGGTACTCCAGTCTAACAAGGAAGCAGGCAGAACTGTAACTTGGGCATCAATATCAAACGTAGCCATAAACATCTGACTTCTTCCATGCCCTAAAATATCTCAGTGTGCTTAATGGGCCTATAAAATCTGTCTTCCCTTTGGGAATAACAAACTTTTCTTGCCCCAACTGGTGATACAATGTGGCCACTATTTTTCTATGAGATCCGATAATTTTTTTCTCAAATCCCATAAATCTCCCGGCAAGATCCCTAACCTCTTTCCCAAAAGCCACATCGATATCATGATCCTATCTTCATCAATAATATTATCGAGAACTATGAAGGGTCTGAAATTTTGCCCTACTTGTAAGCCAATAAATTACTTGCCATAGTTTCCTGAAAGATATAAGAAAAAAAGAAAAAAGAAAAAAAAAAAAGCATTCCTGGATCAGAGACAAAAACTTTACTAATCACAGCAATAGCATCACTCACTATTAATATTTTCTGTGGCACTTCTTTAAATGCACATTGCCCCAGAGTGATGAGCAAAGGCCCAGGAAGTACCTCTGCTCAGTGGATTGCATAATAGGGGAGTAGCCCAGAATTTAGAAAGCCTCACTGCTTTCCAGTGAGCAGAAAGCAAGCCTGCTTAGTGTTCCAAAGAAAGACAATGTCTCTAATTGCAAAGCTTTAAACAAACTTGCACTTTTGCCTTCAGAAAAAAAAAACCAAAAAACTATCTTTATCTTTCCAGGCTGCTTACAATACAAACATTCTTTAAACAATAGGTCAGAACTAAAACAATGGGGCCTCTATTTATAAGATGAGAAGAAATGGGAGTGACTTATGAAGAACTGTCTGCCAACTCCTAAATCATGAGGTTTGAAAACTTATTGCATGTAAGCTTTTGAGGTAAACATTGAGAATATAGTGGTGACTTAGAAACAGTCCTTGTCTTGTCATGTTAGAGAGAGCACTGATGGTGTTAGCACATCAGGGGTGATGATGTCTATTTAAAAATTAAAAAAAAAAATTATATACATGTATATAATGTTCATATATGTGATAATAGGATAGGTAGAGAGGAAATTAATACCAAGAAGTTAATCGTAAGAATGACCCCTTGGCAACTACTGACTAGTAGTTCTAGTATAACAGAAAATCCCCCCCGAGATAGTATACTTCAGTTTCTTAGTTGCCCAGGCAATAGTTTCTTTTCCAGTTTCAGCTCCTTCTGTCTCTTAAAAGACGGCACGCCTGTAATCCCAGCACTCAGGAGGATGAGGCAGGAGGATCGTTGTGAGTTCGAGACCAGCCTGGACTACAAAGTGAGCTCAGGGCCAGCCTGAACTGCACAGTGAGACCCTGTCTCAAAAAGATTTAAAAAAAAAACAAAAAAACAAAAAAAACTCAGTTGGTCATTATAGGTAAATGGATGCAACTAGAGATCATACTCATAAGTGAAATAAATCAGACTTACATGTGTAAACATTTTATTGTTTCCATAGTGTAAGAAACTGAAAGAGTAAATAAAACCCAAAATGTACAATAGATACTGTGAAAGAGAAAGAAATTGCTCAAAGGAAGGAACAACTGGGATTGGTAAAGGAGAATAAGAGAATGGAAAAAATAAATATATGGATAGCTGGGATAATTGCACTGCTGATGTCTAATGGTTCATTGAAAGGAACAGTTAATGCTTAAATTTTTTGACCAATTTTGCAGGCTTATATCTGGTAATCTGAACAACTAATTTGAAGACAACAATATGCAATATAACGATGATTGGTGGGGTTGGTGATATAGCTTAGTGGCAAAAGCGCCTGCCTAGCAAGTCCAAGGTCCTGTGTTTGATTCCCAGTACCAAAAAAACCCCAAAATAATAATAAAATAATAACAATTGATGAATTCCTACCATCTTGTCTAATGAAGCTGTGTATTATTTCTAATGTTTTAGAAATGATTTTTGTTCTCTTTAATCAATCTTGCCTTCCTTATATCTGGTAACCTGAGGAACTTCCTTGAAGGTAACAATAAGTAATATAAGAACCACTGTTGATTCCTATCATTCTGTTTTGAAGCCCTGTATCTTTTTTTATTATTTTTGTTTTATTTTTTTCTATGTTGGTGATATTTTGCTGTTGTTTTTTAAATTCTTTTTAAAATAAAAAAAAATCTTAAAAAGTTGGCCACGGTGATGCATTACTGGTCACTATAATGCACATTGTATAAACCAATTGCCAGTTAACAAGCTATTCTGCCTCTCTACTTCCTGCTTGCTCATCTCATATAAGCCCTAGACCCCCAGAGGTCAGGGCCTGATATTTTAGGAACGATCCCATCAGTGCCCATCAGTGTAAATAAGTCTGCCTCCAAATCCTGGGTGTCCTTTCAGAGTTTCTGCTTTCCTTTACACGAGAAAGTTAGCACAACAACAAACATCAGAAAATGCAACTACATAGCAAAGTGAGACGGCAACAGCAGGAATTGTTACCTGAAGAAAGTTTGCCTTGAAAACAGAAAACTAGAAATCTATGGGGAAGGAACTTCACATCTGGCAAACTTTTTTGGCTATTTGGAGTTTGTTAGTTGCATCCAGGATCCTTGATCTAGTAGCAAGTTGTTGCACCACAAAACCTGTTTGCCTCTTATAGAAATGGTCTGGGGCAAGCCAGGGAGGACAGTTCAGCTGGTTCACAGCCTATTGAAATGATCTAGTAAAGCCCTCCATGGGGAGATGCATGAAATTTGGAGAAGAATGAGAAGATGAGGTATAAGTAAGGGACAAGTGTCTACATCCACTGCCAATTTGTGTCACTTTCACTGCAGTGACTTTCACAGACTTTAGCCTAGAAGATTTTGAATTTTAAGTATATGGAACCTGGAACTACGTTTTCTGTTTACAATTTGAGTAACTAATGGTCAAAGATTAATACAGATGAATAAATGTTAAAGTGATGAGCAGAATAAGTCTCTGTTAAAATTAGGGAGGAACTTCCCACATGAACATCAATAAATAATACCAGTGGGCATGAGCAGCACTCAGATGGATGTGTATGGGTAATCCTAGAATCTTTCTGATATGAAGAACAAGAGAGTGGTCCTCAATCTTTCTTTCTCCCTCAGTGCTAGAGTAATAGGACTCCTTTTTGAAATGGCACATGTTCCTTTAAGAATCTAGACTATATAAAGAATTTTAAAAAGTCAGGCCCCCAAAATTCAAGGACTCAATCCAAATACTGGCATCTGAGACAACTACATATTTCTCAGATGAAGGAATATAAACAGCAAATAAATATATGAAAAAGTGTTCAACATCACTGGTCATTAGAGAGATGCAAATTGAACAACACTGAGATTCCATCTCAC